TTAAAGGACATTGGTTAATATTAAAAATTAGATTTTCTAAATAGTTTATGAAATTATGGACGTTTAGCGGAATAGGCGGGAGATTTAAATTAGTTTGAAATCGCGTGAGGTGGCGGTGGGGCCACCTCACTTAAGTGGACTTGGCCACCTTGGACAACACAAAATTCTGGTCATTCTCTCTCCTCCCTCCCACACAACCCGCGGCCTCCATTGTTGGAGAGGAAGCTTGGCTTCAAAATCTTCAACCAACCATAACTCACTCAAAATTAACTCAAATCCAACAAAGTTTGTCACCAAAGTTGAAGAAAATCATCATCCAAACACAACAATGGTATTCTTGGGGCGTGAAACTCACTAAATTTGGAGAAATTCCACATCTAAACCTACGGCCATTGGAGGAGATTTGGTGTTCTTGAGTTGTGTATTCAAGCCATTGCTTGGATATCACTTGGAGGAGTCCTTGGCCTAGCTTGTGAGTAAGTTTCAACACATTTTATTGGTTGAATCATGAATTTGTATTTTGGTGACCTAGAGTTAAATTGATTGATTGATGTAGTTAGAGAACTCAAATTGAAATTGTGTATTAGATAAAAGTGTCTTAGAATGATGATTTAGAGTGATTGAAGTCATAAAAATTATTGATGAAATTGGTTGATAATTTTGGCAATTTTGAGTTGAGATGTCATGATTTTGTGAAATGACTTGGTGGTATGATTGTGAAATTAAGTTGTGGAGTGTTTTATGAGTTAATTATAGGATTGTATGATGTGTGGAAGTGTTAAATTGGATTGAATACCCTTTGGTTAGGAAGCATGAACAATTCAGCCTATAGAGGGCATGTATTGTTTGAGGATGTAAAAATTATGTAATTGATGTGGTGTGGTGGTAAATGGTGTTTCAATAAGTTGTATGTTGGTGTGGTGAGGTGAAATTGGAAGGAAAAATATTGGATGATGTGTGAGTGTGCATTCGACCTGTGAGAGGAAAATTAGAAAGGATTGTACTAGCATGGTTTTAAATTGAATGGGGGACTTGAATTAGTGATATGGTAAGTCTAGGAAACCATGGGAACTATGAAATAAAATTAAGAAAATTGTTTGGAAATTCTTGGCCAAATGGTCGAACCTATGCATGTGGAGAGGGTGGATTTTGGTGCTTTGTAATCTTGATGATTGCACCTTGTATTGATGATCCTTGTGTGATCATTGTAGGTTGCCTCCCACGGAAGGAAACTTGGAGCTTTGAGCTTGGTGGGTTGCCTTTGGTCCTTGACCAAAGAAATCTTGGTAAGTTGTCATAATTATATGCATGGATATTTCATGAGCATGTATATGTTGTTGGTTGGTTAAAATTGAAATGGAAATGTCCTATGTGTAGGCATTTCTTGTGGTACCAAGCTCGGTGACGAATTAAATTGGAACTGTCAAGTGAAGGAGATTACTCAGGTAATTCCTTGGTATTGGGGTTTAATCCTCGTGTGTGCTCCACTATGTCCCTTGAGGGTAGTGGTTGGAGGTGTATATTGGTAATGTAGTATAACATGTTTTATGCATTATTGTATGTTTAGTGGTATATAGGATGTACTGTGTCTCTGACCAGAAGACTGTTGCCTTCGGGCATTACGGACTTCCACTAGATAGGTCTCCATGAGGGAGTTCCAGTTGACCTGGGGTCATGGTGTGTCATCCGTTTAGGAGCACACTAGGAAAGTCTCGGTGTATATGGATGGAGGGTACCTTGGTTGATGTTATGGGAAAACTTCCTTGGATGAAAACCTGTAGGCTATATGCTGAGGCCAATAGGCCGGAAGTTGCGTGGTATCGGCATCGACCATTTCAGCTTCATTGTATTTTATTCCCTATGCTTCCCTACTTCACTAAATCCTTTGCTTTATCCTATTTTGAATGTTGTATTGTATTATTAATATGCATCGAAGTGAGTCATTGGGCGAAGTAATCTCCAAAATCTCTGGGTTACAGAGATATATTCGTATATCTCATCCCGTTTTGGGGACTTTATTTCAGGTAGTGGCAGTGATACCGGAGCGGCGGACAAGAGGCCCGCAAGATGAGCTTGAACATAGAGTCTATTTTGCATTTTGTGGCCATTGGGCCTAGGCTAGAGTTAGGACATAAACATTGCATGTGATCTATGATTTGTTTATTTTCATCTTTGTTCATGTCACATTTTGCCTAAGTTTAGTCATTATTGCTCATGATTTATTTTGAGGACTTATTTTGTATATTTGAAGGTTTATTGTAACTGTTGTAAAGAAGCATTGTAATTTGTAATATTGAGATCTTGTGGAATATTGAAGCATGCTATATGATGTAAGGGTAATAGGCCTATTCTAGGATATGATTTATTTTTTATGCCAAAAGAATGCATGCAAAGGAATTAATGTGATTGAAATGGTTTAAGATTTGATAATTAAATGGATGAGTTGTAAAGTAAGCTATTTGATATAAATTGTGAAGGGTTGTAAGAGCACTAAGGCATTGCTGATCCTTGAGTGCCACCCATGTTTATTAGGTACCATTTGAGGTGAGATAACACACTTTGAAAAGTGGATATGTTGAAAAAACAAAGAGACTCTCGCGAAATTTCTATAAAATGACAGATTTTTAGTGAACTTTGGGAGAGCATATCTCCCTCCACAATAATCCAATAGGAACGTTCCATACACCGTTTTAAATATCGAGATGTCAAATACCTTGTGTCAAAATTTGAGAACCATAGGAGTAGTAAGTTGCCCTGTAGAAGCCGTGGAACACAGACTGCCCAAAATCCCTTGCACTTGGGGGCTGTCACTGTCGGTTTTTGGGAAAATTATTCTCGCTTAGTTTCTTAGTCAAATTAGGTGAATGATATGTAAAATTGAAGCTTTAGGTATCTAGTTTTCCGTATAAAAATTTGAGAGTGATTGGTGGAGTGGTTTGTCCGGGATCTTGCAAAGAGTGAGGGCTGTTTGGAGCCCGGTTTGAGGTTCGATGGCAAATTTGCTTGTCCAACTTCAAACGGTGATATCCGGAGCAAACGAGAACTTTTTGGAGCGTGTGATAGCTTGTTAGAAATATATAAGTCTAGAATAACATACTAAAAGATGGGAGGTTCGCAACATGCGGATTTTCCGCAGTAATTAAATAACTGAACCATGTTTGGATAGTAGAAACCGAAAAAGTGAGATTTATACTAAGTGGGTTTTGGGTAACCCCTTAATGACTTAAGAGAAATATTATAAGATATTTATGCACTTGTTTTATTATTCCGCAATTAGTTTTCAGTTACGGTAACAACTTTTATTTATTATGCTTTATTATTGTTTTAAATGCTCGCGTAATAAAAAGGAAAAAGTTCACTCGCATTTTTATAAATGAATTGATGTGATTGTAACTACGCTTAATATCATAATCAATGTTAACAATACCGATGTACAACGGGTTGTTACAGTTCGACTCTAGGTTCTTATCTCTTTGCCTTTGTTATGGATGAACTAACAAAAAATATTCAAGAGGAAGTACCATGGTTTATGCTTTTTGCAGATGATATTTTGCTTATTGATGAGAACAAAGACAGTGTTAATAAAAAACTTGAATTATGGATAAGAACATTAGAATCTAAAGGATTCCCGTTAACTCAGAGCGAGCTAAGTATTTGAAGAATGAGTTTTCTCTGGCAAGAGATGAAGATCAAGATCCTGCGCACCTAATTGGTCAAGAGGTACCCAAGAAAGATGCTTTTAGATACCTGGGATATATTTTGCAAAAGGTGGAGAGATTGATGAGAATGTAAATCATAGAATCAGAGCAGGGTGGATGAAATGGCGTAGCGCATCTGGATTTTTGTGTGACCGCAAAATCCCCTTTAAGTTAAAAGGAAAATTCTATAGAACAGCAATAAGACCTGCAATGCTATATGGAGCTGAATGTTGACCAGCACATAGGCAACATGAGCATAAAATGGAAGTAACAGAGATGAGGATGTTAAGAGGGATGTGTGGCTATACGAGGATGAATAAGATGAGAAACGAAGATATTCGACGAAAAGTAAGAGTACTATCGGTAGTTGAAAAGATGAGAGAACATAAATTGATGTGGTTTGGGCACGTAATGAGAAGGCCCCTGGATGCTCTCGTAAGAATAAAAGTTTGTTACCAAGAACTCAACACAAAGAAAGGTAGAGATAGACCGAAACTAACTTAGGGGAAGGTAGTAAAGCAAGACTTAATGAATTGTGATATAGATTGGCGGACGGAGTGCCTTAGAACGAAATAGAGAAAATCTATATGCATGGTGGAGGATTAGACCCGTTGTTATTCCTATATTTCAGATGGTCCCTTTTTAGTCCTTTTTCCTCTTCATCTCCCCCTTTTCTTCTTGTTCCCTTCTTTGATCACTTTTATATTTATATGTATATATTATTATTATTATTATTATTTTATTTACTTTTTTATTTTTATTTTTATTTTTTATCTTTTTTTAACCCTTTCGTATCTTTTATTTGGGTTCATCTATCATCAATCTCAATTAATTTGGGATGAAGGTATTGTTAATATTAATGTTGTGAGGATGTTACTTGATTTTTTCAAACATGCCTTCATTTTAGATTTTAATTTTAGCTTTTTTATAAGTTTTTGTATCTTATAACATAATATAATTATAAGAAATAGAAATATCATGTTACATATTAAAAAAAAAACAAATTCTCTTTTTTTAATATAGTGAAACTTATAATATTTGGGTTCGTTTTTTGTCATGTCACATGACAATACCATTTTCCTGCACACACAAATCAAGTGTGGGTCTCACGCTTAAAAAAAGTCAAACCAAGGCGTCGTATCCTCAAGATAAGTTGCCGGATCCTTGTTGCAGTGACGAACAGTGTTATTCCTCCGACGTTATTTTTATATTTCCCATCATATTTATGTGTAATTCAACATTATAATCAGAAAACTCATTAGTTATACACAACACACAAAAACAGTGATGCAGTGTCTCAGAGTTGAATTTATGCTGGTATCACAAATACCCTCGAGCTCCTCTCGCTGTTCTCTCTTGCATTTCAAGCCAAGGTGCTTCTTTTCTTCTTCCTCCTCCTCCTCCTCTGTTTTGAAGGTTTCGCCATGGCATGGTCTCCATGCATGGAGGGAGAGTCCTCTCAACGAGAATCGGAAGTGGGGACCCAATGGTCCCGAACCGGAACCGGAACCCAAATTCCGTGACTCCCCATTTGGGCAAGCTTCTTCATTGGCTGAGCTTGGTTCTGTTGTTCTTTCCACCAGCGACCCTCTCGCCAAGTCCCATCTCTCTCACATGGCTTACTCCATTTGGCGCCGCCACAACCTCCCTCTTGGTCTTGCAGAACCACCCCCTCGACCCGCCCGACCGGAAAAGCCCGAATTGGTTCGTTCTCTGTTTCGCCTACCACGTGTTTGTTCATATGATTAAGCTAATCACCACAAGCATTTTTTTTTTTTTAATCTTGGTGGATGTTGTTTATTTAATGACCCAATGTCATAATCATATATACCGTTATGGAGATTTGGCATTTCGGTCTCTTTGATGGTAATTTATAGCCTTTGAGTTGTAACTCGTTTCTATGCTTATGGATTTCTGAATGCTTAATTCACTTCATGGTTTTTGCTTTGTCTCGACTATGCGTGCATGATGAAGGTGTTTTCTTTGGTTTTCAGGTTTCCCCTAAGGAAATTCCTGCTCCCAAAAACTCGGGTTTGCCTCTGAATGCTTATATGCTTCATAATCTGGCACATGTGGAGCTCAATGCAATCGATTTGGCATGGGATACTGTTGTTCGGTTTTCTCCCTATAGTGATATTCTAGGGGAGGGGTTCTTTGCTGACTTTGCTCATGTTGCTGATGATGAGAGTCGCCACTTCTCTTGGTGTTCACAGAGACTTGCTGAGCTGGGTTTTAAGTAAGGGTAGTTGTTACTTACTTTTGTAGCAAGGACTGTTTAATTATGCTGATTTTCAGCTTCTCATTTCCAACTAGATATGGAGATATGGCAGCTCACAATTTGCTATGGAGGGAGTGTGAGAAATCGTCAGACAATGTTGCTGCACGTTTGGCAGTTATCCCACTAGTCCAGGTACATATCCCCACCCCCACCTTCTGTCTCCATTTCAAGTCTCATATTTTCCAGCACGTCATGGTTGATACCATTTGATGAAAAACTGCTTAATAAATATGATAATGCAGCTGTTTTCATGATTCTGTATTTCTTTTTTATGTGTATCAATTATAGAATATTTCACAACTAGAGTGACTCGGACTGATTTAGTAATGAACATTATTTTATGCTTTGTATGCTGCTTGTAGGCTTAGACATCATTGTGAATCGACTTCAAATAATCTTTTTCACTTTCATATACTGGTAGAAAGTGATGTATTAGTGCTACTGGCTTATGAGCTTCTGAAAAAATTGTCTGGGTACTGTCATGATGACTTCTAGAGGACTCTTTTATATTCAACTTAATTATTTAAGGTTTTCTGATCTGTTGGGTATGGCTCATACTTCGCATACTGACGAGGGCCCTTGTTGGCAGGGTCAGCAGAAAGTCAACTAAAGTCCCGCTTTCGGGGGAGCCGCTCCCGGGCCCGTAGAGGCCCGATACTGTTGTAGGCTTCTGACTTATTGTAATTTTATTTTTCTTAGTGGTTTGGGCTTGAGCCCATGAATAGCTGTTGTTAGCAGTGTTTAAAAATCCGACCCGGCCGAGGTCAGGGGTCATGGAGTCACGGGTTCAACCGGGGGGTCACGGGGTCACTATGCTGACCCAGTTTTATATATTAAAAAAATATAAATATATATATATATATATATATATATATATATATATATATATATATATATAAGGTAGGATCCTTTGACACCAGTGTCAAATTTAAAATTTGACACCTCATCTGAGAGCCGTTAGATCAAAAAAGATCAACGACTCTGATTTGTAAGCATGTGACATCATTGATCTTTTTTGATCTAACGGCTCTCAGATGAGGTGTCAAACTTTAAATTTGACACCTGTGTCAAAGGATCCTACCCCTATATATATATATATATATATATATATATATATAAATATTAAAAAACAAACCACCAATCATCAAAGATTCAAAATATACTTAACATAATTCACTAATTACAACTACAAGTCAATATTACACAACTTAAGTATCAAGATACCAAAGTACAAAACTCATGTTTTAATTGGATCAATACGCTGACCCGGTTCTGCCTCTTTGACAAAGGAAATTTTAAAGGAAGTAAGAATGAGTTTTTGTTTTCCATCGACGACCGTAAGGATTTCATTTAAATAGATAAAATTCTTACCTTTTCTAGATGATTCACGTCTGCGAGGTGAAGATTGAAGACATATAGGGGAGAGAAGAGAACGATTAGATTTAGGTTTACAAGTATTTTAATTTTAATTTTTTAATAAAACAAAGTTGTTTCATGGAATTTTAAAAAAAAAAAAAAAAAACATACAGTGACCCCTTTGACCCCTCTGACCCGGGAGTCACTGAAACCCGGCCGGGTTTTGGGGGTCGGAGGTAGAGCCGGCAAAACGGGCTCGACTCGGCGGGCCAACCCGCCAAACGGGGCGGGCTGAGTTTTGCAATCCATCTCAAAAGCGGGGCGGGGCGGGGCGGGGCGGGGCGGGTTCATTTTTTGGCGGGTTGATGGCGGGCCGAGGCGGGTCAGTGTAAAATAGGCTCGAGCTGGCAGGCCAACCCGCCCATCCCGCCAAACGGGGCGGGGCGGGCTGATTCATTTTTTGGCGAGTTGATGGCGGGGTGGGGCAGGGCGAGGCGGGCCGCCCACTTTGCCACCTCTAGTCGAAGGGGTCGATGTGCATAAAGGGTCCAACTTGTGACCCCAACCCTCAGAGGGGAGGGGTCATGTTTGACCCGGGTCAACCCGAGGGGCGGGGTGGGGTTTTAAAACACTGGTTGTTAGGGTTTTCTAAATCCTATTTATATTCCCTTGTAAATCGAGTGACTTGTAACGAGAGGAGGTGAGGTGAATATAGTACAGATAAGCTAGACGTAACTTACATTGGGTGAACTAGGGTAAATCACTGTGTCGATTTCTCTGTTCCCTTTCTCTCTCTTTTGTTTTTCGATTTGTGTGATTGTCGATTTCCAACATGATCAACTTCTTGTTTAAAGTTATTAATTGACATGAGTCCACAGCCATTTTTTGAGTCAATTTTTTTGCCCATTGACTTTGAATATAACTTTTCACGAGCTATTGCCTTTGTTGGAAGGGTGGAAAGTTTTCTGCAAAATGCCTGGAAATGCTTTCCCAGTTACAGAGATAGATAAGCTTTGAATTCTGTGATCCTGATGTTCTAAATGTATATCGTTATTTCACTCATAGGAGGCTAGAGGACTTGATGCTGGGCCACGCCTGGTGCAAAAATTAGTTGGCTTTGGAGATAATAGAACATCTAAAATTGTGGCTAGAATTGCTGATGAGGAAGTTGCACATGTAGCAGTTGGTGTCTACTGGTTTGCTTCTGTCTGTCAAAAAATGGATTGTGCCCCAGACTCCACTTTTAAAGGTTGGGAAGCCTGTTTAATATCAGCTTATCTGCTCACTTAAACCCATACTGTAGGAATGCTACCTTCAACATAAATTTTTTATGTAACCATGCAGACTTGCTAAAGGAATACAATGTAGAACTAAAGGGTCCCTTCAATTATAAGGCTCGAGAGGAAGCTGGCATTCCCCGTCATTGGTAAGAAACTGTACATTGCAGTTGGTTTTCTTGCCTGTACCTACAATATTTTAGGCTTATATTGCGTACAAGATAGTTAAAAAATTCCATATTACTTCTTCCATGTGAATCTAACATTTTTGTTGCCTCGTATTCTCCTGTCTAGGTATGATGCATCATCTACAAGCAATCAGGACCAGAAAAACGAAGATGGCAATAAAAACCAGCTCTCTGCAGTAAGTGACAACTGACAATCATCTTGGCCATTCCTGTAATTATTTTTAACTGTTCTTTTGGTTTAATATTGATGCATATGAACTTGCTGTTACAGGTTTATGAGAGGCTTACTTCCATCATTGCTATGGAAAGTGAGAATTCAAGTTTGACCAGGCCGCCTGAATAATCTTGGCACGATATAATGAGCAATTTCTATTTTCAACAGATTAGTTGATATTGGAACTCACTTCCTCAACAGCAAACAATCAAGAGTATCATATATTTTGAGGGTGTGTTTGGGAGTTAGGGGGAAAAGGAAAGGGAAGGGATGAGGGGAAAGAATGGTGAAAATGAAAGAAAAATCAAGGTTTTACATGTATATATAAGAACTTTTAATAAACTCATTTAAAAATTGGCCACTGACATACTTGACTTGAATTTTAAGCTTGTATCCAGTAATACAACAAACAGTAATAATAACTTTTAACTGTTACTAATGCTCGCAATCACACACTGATCAGTACAAAGACACCCAGAAGTGATAGGGTTTCATACATAGATTTGGTGATGCAATTCTTTCACTAGCAACATTGTTTGACTGCAAGTGCTAATGCAAATCTAAAATCCAGTTGACCACGTGTCCACTGTTGAAGATAAGCGTAAACGACAGGAAGAATGTCGTGTACGACTCATATATCTTTAAACCTTTGTTATCTTTATAATATCACTCTTATAGATAATTATAATATCGATATCAGTATTGTATTTTATTAGAAAAATGTTATTTTTACAATAAATTTAACATTCGTATTATTTGCTTCCAGAAACGACTTAAACTTCCAGAGACATCACATGCTTTATTTCATAAATAGCAGATTCCGGGAAAATTACCACTTTCTTTTTCTGGAAAACTTGTGCTACTAACTTCATCTGATGCCCTAGTTTCTTTGGCTTAATTAAAGCCAGAAAACGTGTCCCTCTTCCCTTCCTAATATCAAAAGAAGCAGAACAAAGATCATCAACTTACACCCACTCCATCATCTTCTTTCTCAGACAAAAAAGGAAGGAAGAAAAAACATAGAAGAGATAGCTACAAATTCGTAGATATGTGCAATTCAGATGGTGATTGCAGGCCCTTGGGTTTTCTCTTGGGTCTTCCCTTCGCTTTTCTCTCCCTCCTCCTCTCTATCGTTGGCCTTATTGTCTGGATCGTTGGGTAAGATACTCATCACACACACTCTCTCTTCCCATAAGTGTTTCACTTTGATCAATTTTTTGTGGCATCTTCAATTTGTAAAATTACCATGTAATTTGGACTTTGATGTTCTGGGTTGATATGGGTATGGATCCGATTGAATGAAAATATCAAAAAAATTAAAACTTTGCTTTCAAAATATTTGCAGGTTGTTGCTGACATGCATATGCCCCTGCTGCTTGTGCGTGACGGTAATAGTGGAACTTGCGTTGGAATTGATCAAGGCTCCACTGCACGTTATGGAGTGGTTCACCTCTCAGATACCCTGTTGACCTGCTTTTACCAATTGTATCATAAAGTTTTAGACTTGTGTTTGGTTCATGCTGCTTCCCTTAATTTTTATCTTCTTTTTAGTATTTTGCCTTTGAGAGTGTGAATTTCAAGTTATTGATTTATGGTTGATCTATATGTTTTATGGTTTCTCTGGAACCTAAACGGTAGTGGGTTCAATGAGTTCTAGTTGCACACAGGGAAAATTAAAACAGTTCATAGTAGATTGTTGTTTCTTATGCATGCGTTACGCTAATGAACTTAGAGAGATTATTGTTTAGACTGATATTGATCACTTATGTATAGTAGAAGGAGGTGAATTTGATTAGGATTTTAAAATACTATTTTAAGATAAAAAAAATTATAGATTTTAAAAAATTATTTAGAATTGTAGTGATTTTAAAGATTTTATAAGATTAGATTTTAAAGAATTTTAATTGAATTCATAAAATTTAAAAGGACAATATGAATTTATAAAATTTTAAAAAATTATATAAATTTTTAACAAATATTTAAAATTATAAGAGTCAATAAAAAATAACAAAAAAATATAGTGATATTAATAAAAATATAAAATCTAATATAGTTTTTACAGTTAGTAATTTGATGTATTATTAAGTAGCAGTTTTTCATATATTTATACCAATTATCTATGCATTAGCATTTTTTCATTCCTGTTGTTGGATTTGACCAACGGGATGAAAATTATCTTCATCATTTGGAAATAATTCGAAATTTGCATATAGAATCTAAAGTTCATGATAAAATTTTGTTTGGAATTTTTTGCGATGGATCTTGGAAACGTTGGGTTTTTGTTTTACATGATGAGAGTTTTCTAACCACATACATGTTTTCATTGACTATTCTATGAAAATTTCAAATCTAAATTTCTGGTTTTTATTACATGAAAGTTTAGAAAAATTCTTAATTTATTTTCAGTCGACATATTGAAACCTTAAATTGCTTTGAGACTTCTGCAAAACAAGTTTTTAGCGATTTGTCGACACAAAAATTGTTTGAAATCATTTTCTATAGCGAAGGAGTTTCATTCATAAATGTATTGTTACAAAACATATAATTCATATTATGAAAGTTTCAATCTTCCTATAAATCGATCTTGTTTCATTGATGTAAAATGAAAATTGGTTGGGGGATTTTTGTTCCCCTGTTATTTTCCCATTATTTTATTTTTTAATATAAAAATCACATATTTTTGTACCTAGAACAATCGTGACCCATAGCTTAAAAAATCATTTTTTAAACTTTTAAAAGCTTTCAAAAATTGCTCAAAAATATGTTGCTTTTAGATGGATTATGTTAGACGAGTGGCTTCACTACTTAGGGGGGTGAATTGAGTTTTGTAAAATCTTTTCGCAAAATGCCTCCTTTGATATTTTGAAGTTCAAGTAAATGATTTGACAATTTTTGTAGGAGCAAATGTGTGATCAACAAAATAAGCGAGCCACTAAATAAAAACAATCTAAAAATGTTAAAGACTAAAGTAAGGAGTTCAAGGTTAGAGAAATTGCAAACTAGATGTATTCTGGTTCAGTCACCACCACCATGACCTATAACCAAATTGAAATTGCTCGATCAATCTTTTTCACTAGCTATCAAGCTTGAGAGTGCTTGACAAACTACTACAATCTTCCAAGACTTCTGGCTCTTGACGCCTTACAATTTTCTACTTCAAATTTTCTTAGGAATTTGGTAACCTCTCAAGTATAATGGGTTTACGCCCTTAACTATTCAAGAAATCAAATGGATGAGGTGTTTAACAATAGCTAAGTACTCTCAAAGTACAGATTATACAAGTTGAAGAACTATGAGTGTTAACACTTTCACAAGAATAAAGCTCAAAGAGTGTTTAAGATCAAGATTAAGGAGAATAAGCAAATAATATGATATAAATCAAGAATAATGATCAAGAAGTGTTGTCTAATCAATGAAACATTAATTCTTATTTATAGAGACCTCTCACATGAGTATTATCAGTCATTTTCACAAAAATAGCTATTTATAGCCGTTATTTTCGTCCTTTGGTACAGGATGGAATCGACTCCTTTACTGTGGGAATTGATTCCCAACTTTTCCAGAAGGTGGGAATCAATACCCATTGAGGATGGAATCAATTCCCAATCAGTTAGAAATTCGTCCTTAAGCATTTTTCTTTATTTTAAATCCTTTTTAAACAAGTTCAATTAATTGATAAAATATTGAAAACATATTTTTATAAATGTGAGATGCTAGAAATCCTTTTTTTTTTCTTTTGTTATCAAATGATGATTTAATGCATGTATTTTAGCAGAAATGTTTTTGAGCTTATTCATGCAAGAAGTCAATTATCTTCACAATTAATTCTAAGTCCTAAAATATGTTACTTGAGGACTCTTTGGACTTACATAATTCTTCTCTTGAAGCTTGAGTCTTGATGGACTTCATGAATGTTGGTTGATTCTTTCTATTTGATTGTTATACTTGAAGTCTTCTTTCCATGCTTTGTTTGTTATCATCAAAATTCTTGAATCTTTATATTTTGTATTGGTTCCTCAGATTAGATTATACTATTGTTGGGTTGATGATTCTTGGTTGTTTTGTGATTAAAAATCGCTCGAAAATTTGTTATTTTTGAGCTTTGACGAAGCTCCCATGACGAAACCCGATTTCGAGCAGGTCAACCTGGCAAAGAAAAAAAAATACTGCAATAGAGAAATATCAAGAAATACTAAGGGTTAGGGTGAGATTGTGAGAGAGGCATCTGTTGCGAAATCGGCAAGTGTACTGATCGTACCAAGTAATAAAATGATTAGTAGAGTATCATCTCCGCGAGGATTGAGGCACCGAATTTATTATAACTATTCCTCTCTTGTTGGATTAATAAAAATAGTTTAAAGACAATTGTGATTTGTGAAATAACGAGAACAATTCAAGAAATTGTAAATGATTTAAAAGTTCTTAAAGAAATTTAAGAACAACGGAATAAAGATTGACTAAATATTTGAGAAAATATTGCGGTAAAGAGACGACAAACACATTTATGATCCCCACCTTATAACTTGGATTAACGTTTACATTTAATTATGCAATTGATCAAACGATTCACTATCTTTTATTTGATTGGTTAAGCCCTAATTCCTTAATGATGTTAACCTTTATAACTCTATTAGAATCCTAATCCCTTAGAAATTTCTTTTCAAGTTAAGCCTTTTAATCAGTGAATCTTTCACGTTTGCGGTTCATGTAGCCTATCCCTAGTGCATACATGAATAGTTATCTTACCTCTTGTCAGGAATTAGAGTTCTAATATTTCTATTGAAAACCCTAACCCTCGCAATCCTAATAGAGTGATGATTCTAGAAGAAATATGAGATGAAGAACAAGATAATATAAATGCAATTGGAATAATTAAATATAAAGATTAACCAAACTACAAGGAGTTCACATCAAGGGTTGTGACCCTTACCACAATAATAAAACTAGCCAGACATATTCATGTCTAACAAAATCAACATAAAAGAAATTAAAATTCAGAATCTAAGAAAAGAAAGATGATGAAGACCTTTAATCTAGATCACTCGAATCTCTGAAACGCCAAAAAGCTCCTAAGAATTCTCGCTCTCTTTTTGATTCCTTGTTGTCAAAAGTGCCTTCTCTTATGTTTCTAATCCTTTTATTAGGTTTTAGGAAAACCTACTTTCCATTGCTCTCAAAATGGGCCTCCTTTTTTAGTAATTCGCATCAGATTAAAATTAAAAAGTATCGCCCGCGCACTTTGCACCAGCTCCCGCGCAATTTGCATGCAAAAACAGAGCTGAAGCTGTCAAATGGTGCGATTTGCGCCAAGTTCCGCCACCTCGCGCAAAACGCGCCACTTCCCGCACAATTTGCGCCAAGTTACAGAATCTTCAAGTTGAAATGGCGCGATTTGCGCCACGCTCAGCGCAAATTGCGCCAGCTGGAAAACTTGAACTTCTCTCCTTCACTTCATTTTTGGTGTTTCCTGCTATTAAAATGCATAAATTGAGTGAGAGAATAATTGAGAAGGAATAATCAATATTTCTTGCATTTATGATTTATTTTTACACATTTTTGATCAATTCCTTGCTTCTTTTAACTTAGAAAGCATCATATGCTAGACGCATATCAGCATCCATTTTATATTTCTTACTACAAAGTCTCATAAAATCCATATCAATAGAAGATACAGTAAAATCGTCACATTTTTTAATACCACAAGATTGTTTTTTCTTTGTTTAAATGATGATTGAATACCACCTAATTTGAATGAACTCTAAAATAATATTTTAAAATCCTAATTAAATATTACGTGATTTTTTTTCAATTCTTTAAAATCCTAATTAAATATCAATGAATTTTTTTTGTTCAAAAACAATTCATAAAATCCTTTGAAATCTCATTGACATTCCCCTAAGTAACACTGAAAGCAACATATTTGTCAATGGAAGATAAACTGCAAAGGTAGAAACCACAAATGCTTTGACTCCAACAGAAGTGCAAAGATAAACATGAGTCATGACTGAGGAATTATTATGTACCAGTTTCCCACTATACTTTTAAATCAAATTTCATCCTTTAAGAATTTTTCATTCATATTATTTTAAAATGCCTCATTTGAAACTCGTTATTTACCTTTACCAACAAATAATATAAACGAAACTGATAAACTGATATGTGGTTATGATTATGATAATTTGAATTTAAATGCATGATGTTTTCATCCCGAGTTAGGCCGCTTACATATTTTAGCTACCCGATGAAGAATAAACTTGGTTTGGATTTTTTCTTACCAAGTGATCAGACCAATACAATATGGGTTGGTCAATATGAATCGGGCCTAACCATACACGGTTGATGAGAGAAGACTTTGAGTGGGCTATCTTCTTCTTAGGTGGTTGATGGCTGTTGATGGAAAGATTGGTATGATTCTTCTTTTGTGGCGCGATGACTCCAATTGGGGTGGGTACCTGCAATGACACTCTATAACATCCCCGTCTCGAGCTGGTTCAATTAACATGCATATGATATAAACAGAAACAGCGAAAAACTTAACTTACGAAAATACGAGCTAACTTTTTCTTTTTCTACTTTAATTCTTACTCGGCGTAAACGAAAATCGGGCAGAGTTTCCTCTATAAATC